TAAGGCGTTCATAGCCTTAGCGTTGAGATTAGCTAGCATCGGTCATGTTCCCGACTTTGGACTTCTCTACATATTTCTTTTCTATGAGCTCTAGGATGTCAAGATCAATACAACGAAGGTAAATTCTCATCCTAGCCTTCCAATAAGCAAAATTGCTTCTAGTGAAGAGAGGTGGTCTAGTGGTGGATTGTCCTTCTAACATATGCATATTCAAAGAGGCCTCCATTAGATCTTTTCTCTAAGGCGGTTAAACCAAAAATTAATATAGAGACCAAGCACTGATACCAATTGTTGGACCCTAGAGGGGGAGTGATTAGGGTCAAGAGGCTCTAATTATGCAATAAAAGATAAGACAAGCAAACAACAAAACAGAAATGCAATCAAAGTAAATGAGATAGGGTTAGGAATCGTTATCCTTTGACGCGCGATGTGTTAACGAGGTTTGGTCCGCTGACCTACGTCCCCGCTCCCCACTCTCGAGGAAAAATCCACTACACACCTGGTTTGGAAGCCGGAACTTCGTCTACACAGCGATCCCCTTACGATCTCACACTACACAGTTGATCTCAACAGATCACACTCCCTCACAGTTGATCTACACAAGATCACACTCACACAGCAGTAGAAATGGTGCAAGACTCTCTCTTTACAAGTCCCTATGGCAAAGAGAAAGAATACTGAAGCTGGGAAGTGAACTCACACAAGAAACACAGAGAAAAACCATAGAGAACAGAGTTTGAAAATTTTTCTCAGAAGACAGCGTCTCTCTGGTTTTTCAGCAGAAGTTAGGGCAACTTAGAAGATGAAGGAGAAAGGGTTTAAATAGAATAGATTAATCATTTTAAAATCACAACCCAATCTTCCCAATTAAGAAAATAATCTCCTATTCAGACTATTGCCACAGACTGTGCCAAACACAGTTAAGTGATAGCACAGTAACCAAGGCAACCGACCGTTTGAAAAAGCTCTCGGTTGACCGAATAAACTTTCGGTCGACCGCCAGAACGTTCGGTCGACCGAATCGGTCGACCGACCGAAAATCCGGTCGACCGCGAGCAGCTATGAAAACTCAGAAAACAAGTAGAGCCATCATCGGTCGACCGGTGCGGTCGACCGATAGAAAAATCGAGATTTCGGTCGACCGCACCGGTCGACGGACGACCTCTCTGTAGCCCAGTGACGAATGATCTTAAGTGCGGTCGACCGCATTCTGATATGCTCCAGAATAGTATTTTGACTCAAACGAAAATATTTAGAAAATATCATTCTGATATGCTCCAGAATAGTATTTTGACTCAAACGAAAATATTTAGAAAATATTTATTTGACCTCCGAAAATTATGAAACTTTGTAAAATGTTTTTAATACTAAAAACAAACTGTTTGGAAAAAGAATTTTGCAGATAGGTCCTCATACTTGTGAAAAATAGTATTTTGCGAAAAACGCTTAAAAGCTTAAGTATGAAAACGTGTGTGTGAGTCCCAATAGCTTCAAGTGAATTCAATAACTCTTTGCCTACATTCTAATACTAGAGAGAGAATAAAAAACTAGCTAATATCCTCACATAGAATATAATCTTTGAGTCTTGATATAGCTTGAGTTTGGATGAAGCTTTTATATGAATTTGTTGTTCTTGAAATAACATTGCTTCATCATTATGCCTCCTCCTCCTTTGGATATCATCGTTGTAGCGTATATTCCATCCAATCCTCCATAAATGGCACTAACAAGCTTGATAAATGAATTTACTACATTTGCACTCAATAAGCCATTAGTACCATTAATGGTGGTTGTAAAACATCATCAAAACATAAGTGCTAACACTAATTTCTTTGCCATATTGGAGCGATACAATCCAGATAGCGACACATTCTTCACACCTGTCAAAGAGCTAGGTTTTGTTCTTCATGAAATGCAAGCTGTATCAAGGCTACCATTCGGGAAGATGCCCTATGAAGAGTTCTTTCCTACTACGAAAGAGCTCTCTATCTTGAGAGCGGCACACCCAGAGATTTATGCACCATTCTAGGAGTTGATGTGTCACTTCCATATTTGCGCTCAAGTTGTCGGGGTTCGCGGAGGAGGCATTATGCATACTGCTTGGGCAGACTATCTTTTCTAGAATTTGAGTAAAAAAATGCAGCCGTGACCAGATTCGCTACCATCTCTCCCAAAAGCATCAAAGTTCGCATTAGAGGCTACTAATGCTAGATATAAGAATATGGATTCAGAGGATGGATTTGAGGCTGATACTAAATTTGAGAGCTTTCACTACCAGGCTGCAACTCCTATCTCTGACACTGCTCTTCTTGTTGGCTTCTTAATGAAATGGTTAAAACGCTGTGTAGTGCCATCGAAGCCAATAGAGTCTATCTTAGCTGAGGTAGTATACCTAGCTGTTTTATTAGCTCATTAGAAGCTCGTGAGTCTCCTCACCACCATGGTAGGCTGTATACAGAGTGGCATATGGACGTTGACTTCTGAATTTGTCGATGTCCAAGAGACAAAAATTGCTGGGAGGAAAGTTTACAAAACTCCCCAACCTCTTATACTAGTGCCATATACATACTTGATGGCCTGGTTTGTATTGCATTGCCCTTCATTGATGATAGGGATCACCAACGATAGTGAGGCTTCTATTCCATTTGTCTAGAGGCTCGAGTCGGCCATGTGGACCAAAACTTACATAGTTCGGGCTTGACAGCTCTTGTCCAAAGGGGATGATTACAAAATTTTCTGCTGCTCTCCTAATTTTGACGGGGCTGAAGAGGAGGGTACAAGCTTTACGAATGTACTTTTTTATGGCTCATTATCTTCAGAAGAAGGCATCTTCTGATGGCTCCTCATGATCAGATTGGGTTATCTGGTCTTTCGCCTAAGGGAGAAGTACATCATCAAACTTTACATGCCTTCTAGGTTCGCTAGGCAGTTTAGCTATGACCAACTTTATGTTGGTAACCCTAACCCGGTGTTGGCTCAAGTTAGGAATCTATACGAGGGTACTCGTGCATGGTATTTCTTCTCTGTCGGAGGGACCCATGCTCAATTCACTTTTCCCAGCTTGCTGCCTAACTGCTCTGTTGTTTCCAATTCTCATGACTGGTTTTATAAAGCTTCTTAAATTCCGAAGTATAACATGTACACTTCCTGTATAAATGAAATCTGGGAACTTTACGAGTCTAGAAAGAGTTTTACAAGGACTCGCCTGCCGGGAATAAACGAATATTTGTCATGTGAACGGGAGGCAACCGGAGCTGGAGAGGTCCAAGAAGAGCTACCAATTGCCGAGCCTTGCGAAGAGAAGGCGATCGAAGAAATCCTCGAGGAAGCACCCACTCTTAAACTTCACTCATTAAGATCGTCGAGGAAGAAGTCTCTTACCGCTACGGAGGAGGGCGAATATGATAGGAGGGTTCAAAAAAGGAGGCCCATTGTAACCAAAAACTCCAAGAAGGCAAAGCTGATGGAACACGTGATGAAGTCTGTACCGGTCGTGCTCCCAAATGATAAAGGAGGAAAAGTGCTTCACTCAATTCCTTCTATTCCTGATATGAAAGCTAAAGGGATACTGAGTGTCAGGGGCTCAGAGTCTGCTCCCTTGATAGGACCTGTTGATGGGGGTGACCACAAGACAGGATCCGCCAGAAGGATTTACTTCTGAAGCTGTTTCCGGATCCGCTCCTACTGAATTTTTGGGTGTAATCTATCCGACTGCCCCTCCTCTAAATTTAAAAATCCTAAGGAAACTCATCGAACAGCTAAAAAGTATGATGAAATTAACAATCATTGTCGTTAGCCTTGGACAGGCTACCTTTGAGGATTTCAAACCTCTCTTGAAAAGCTGCCTAGACAGCATTAAGAGCTTGGGCGACTTTTAGTGGACTGAATGTTGCAGTTCCTCATGGAAGCGGAATTAAGGACCTTTTTGGATTGGCAACGTACTGAATTAGAATCTGAAGTGGAGCAAGCTTTTTCTGTGTCCTAAGCCTCGAGGGTGCGACATCAAAAAGCTCTTCATAAGAGTTTATCATAGAAAAAGGCTCACCTGGTGACCATATGGGAGCAGCATACTCAGGTACAAATTGATATGAGTAGCCTTACTACTGGTATTCATGACACTGAAGAAGCCATTGTAAAAGGCCCAGTTGGCCAGAAGATTTGCTCAAGATGCAGACATTATAAAAGGGCTTCAGCTTCAAAGTGACAACATTTTTAAGAACTTTTTGCAGCGAACTCCAAGCTTCTGAGAGAATTTGAAAAGAGATTGCTACTGCTACGCCTGTTGAAGAAGAATTTAGGAGGGAGATTGCAGAACAAATCTAAGCGATTCATGAGAAGAAGTTGTCTGTGCTTAAGTCCAAGCCCAGATCCTTCAAATTGATAAGCTGTGATGCTTGAATCTTGTATTTCTTTTAGCTAAAGATAGGAATTCTTTGTTTTGCATCATTTTCATGCCAAGTATTGTCACTTTGTATCAGATTAACAATGTTGAATTAAAATGATATTATAATGCTTTTCATCGCCCCTTCCTTGTTATATTTTGATTTGAGACAATGAAAGTATTGAAAATGCTAGAGATGTAATGTTAACTTAGTGTAAATCAAAAATTCTCTTCATTATCACTTAGAATAACTTTAGAAAATTTCAATCGTCAGGGGTGTAATGCTAACTTGACGTTATACAAACCGAGAAAGGTGTGACATGGTTTATTATTCTCTATTCAAATAAATTTCGAATAATCAACCCCCAGTCTAAATAAAATAGATGTTTTAGTTTAGACTTTGCTGGGGAAAGTGACATGAACAATCAACCCCCAGCCTTGGGAAAGTTGATTCATTATCTCAGACTTGGCTTAGGATTATGAAAGTGCACTTCATGGCTTACGGGTAATATTTCTTGAGAAATTTACTGTTAATAGGCATCATGAGTCTGTCGCCTTTCTGGTTAATGAGACTGTATGCCCTATTCGAATAGACTGATTTTATTACGAATGATCCTTCTCACTTGGAATTGAATTTCCCCTTAGTCTTGTATGTCATCACCATAGGTCGTCTGACAGCTAAAACCAAATCATCCTCCTTGAAGATTTGCTCTTTGACCTTCTTGTTATAGGCTTTGGAGATTTGAGCATGATACAACTCGATCTGTTGTTGAGCTTGAAGTCGCATGTCATCTAATACTTCTAGTTCTTGAAGACGCAATCGATGTTGTTCTTCATCTGTCATCCTGATCGCAAGGGTGACTCTCAGAGATGGGATTTGGATTTCTAATAGTAATACAGCTTCGCAGCCATAAACCAAAGAGAATGGGGTGGATTTTGTAAGGGTTTTCACCATTGTGCGGTAGGCGCATAAACATTCGCTAAGCTTTTTATCCCAATCACGTCTGCTCTTGGAGACTAACTTCTTGAGGAGCTTCATGATGTTTTTGTTGAATGTTTCTACAAGGCCATTGGCTAGTGGGTAGTATGCTGTCGATTTGATGCTTTGGATCCTAAACTTGTTGCAGAATCTCAAAAAACCGTGACCAACAAACTGAGTTCGATTGTCATGGACTATTCGTCTCGGTACACCGAAGTGGTAGATGACGTGATGTTTGATAAATTTGATCATGTTTGAAGCTTTGACTTCTTTCAGTGGAATTACCTCCGCCCATTTAGAAAGTAATCGGTCACTGTCAATATGAACTGATGTCCTTTGGCTATTGATGGAGTGATGGGTCCAACGATGTCCATACCTCACATCTCAAATGGCCAAGAGGCAGATGTCCGATGTAGGTTCCCTGGTGGCTAATGAACAAAGTCACTGTAGATTTAGCATGCGTGACAACGTTTAGCGTAGTCAACAGCATCCGAGAATATCTTTGGCCAATAATAGCCTATTCGTCGAAGACGATCTCCTAACTTAGCTCCGGGTTGATGAGCTACATGCATCTCATTATGAGCTTCCTTGAGAATCTCTTTAGCTTCTTTCCTAGAAAGGCACTGAAGTAAAACTCCATCATGTGATTTACGGTACAAGGTTTGAGAAACCGCATCAAAATAGAATCGGGGGGCCTTGCGTTTGATAGCGGCCGCTTCCTTGAGATTATCGGGCAAAATTTCGTATAAAACATAATCGATATACGGGAATTGATAATCATATTTTTATTACAATTTTATACCCTTATTATCTATTTTACATGAATAAATATACCATTAATAATTGTTGTTAGCTTAGTTTCCACATAATTGAATGAAAATATAAATAAATATTATTAAATATAAAAACCCCTCAAAATCTCTCTCCTCTATTTTGTAGAATTTTAGAAGCCTATGAAGCAAAAGCTTAAAAGAGGAAAAGAATTTGAAAGCCCAAAGCCTATCAAAAAAAATTGATTACAACCATGCATTGGAGATGCTTTTCATTTCTGTTTTGAAAATTAAATGATTGCTGACATTGGTCCGGTTGTGACATTGCACTTGCTTCATGGAGAAATGCAATCAATGGGCTTCATGGAGAAATGCACTTGCTTCATTTATGTAAACAAATGGGCCGAATTAAATGAATGGAGAAATGCAATCAATGGGCTGGAAGCTTCATGGGCCGGTTGATTTACAAATGAAGACTGTTGGACTCAAATGCATGGACCGAATTTTCATCAAGTTGTGTGGGCCGGTCTTAGCTTTGTTGAACATTTGGAGAATTCGGCTGGACATGCTCTTCAAGTTCTTTTGGAAAATCAAATGAAATAATGAATGGAGTTGTGGACCGGACTAGGCTTTTGCAATTGGATTTTGATTTTCTTGTGAAAATTAAATAAATCATATGGGCCTCCTATGTTGGGCTAGAAAAGAACAAAAAGCAAATTTAAAGGTGGAGATTGTTGCTTGGGGCTTAACACAAATCCAATGGCTCATATTCATTGAAGATTACTATAAATAGGGGTAGAGAGTGAGGGGTTAAGGGTGTGAAAATTTTTGTAAACTCCTTTTGGAGAGGAGGGCTACTATTAATTGAGAAGGCCTTCCAAAATTGTAACTTTAGTTGCAATTAATAATAATAATTTTTTCACCACTTTAAATTTTTCTCTTCTTCTCTTTATTGGATAATGAAGATGAAGATGAAGATGGAGAATTGTTTGAAGGTTTGCATTTCTTTCCTTTTTCTCTTTTATTTCTTTTTTATTGCTTATTAGTTTAGATTTATTTCTATGTTCATAGTTAGATTTTATTTTCTTGTTAAATAGCCAAGAGGCTAGAACCCTCTTGCCTTAGATTTATTTCATGCTTATAGAGTAGATTTATTTTCTTGCATTTAATTCTTGTAATTTTATTTTGTAGTTTAGATTTTGCAATTTATTTTGTAGTTAGATTTTAATTTCTTATACTATTCACCTTGATGCTAGAACCCTCTTGGGTTTAGTTTTTCTTTTTATTTATTTTTATTTTGTTTGATTCGCCTTTAGGCTACAACCCTCTAGGGAATCATCCTTTTCTAAGAAGTGAGTTCAATTTTAGATTACCCATATCTATAATTGAATCCACCATCTTTAATTTCTTACATTTTCTTTTATTCTAGAATTTTGTTCTTCATTCTTGATTTTTCATTTATTTCTTGATTTTATTCATTTTTTCCTTCTTGCCTTATTGATCACACTCATTCTTTTTCAAATCCATTCTCACTTACACTTTGCACCTATTCACACACCATTTTCACTCTCTCAATCTCTTCACAATCACATTCACTTATCACTCCTACTTATCACGCACACAACATAAGAACCGATTTTATATTTTCTCCTACAAAACACCTTCCTCGTGGGATCGATATCTTAAATACTATAACTTGACACGGTTGTGCACTTGCAACCTTTTTGGTGCATGTTTATGCCGCACCAGGAATCGACAATCCCTGGGTTCAAGCTCTATTGAGGTTGTGCAGACATCTTCCGCCGTCATCTTGCCTAAGCGTTCATCTAAAGAAAGCTTGGGGTGATACAATTTGTGTCCTGTAACAAGAATTGTTGCTTTAGCCCCAGGTGGTAATGCTAATGAAGTTGCCAATGAGGCTAAAGTATCTACGTAGGTGTTCTGAACTCGTGGAATATATCCAATAAAGAAGCCTTCAAACTTCTGAGCTTGCTCTAGCACTGCGAAGTGGTATGGGAGTAGGTCTTCATTGCATACTTCATATTCTCCTCGGACTTGATTTACAATGAGTTGAGAGTCACCGTAAGCTTCGAGATATTGAACGTTAAGCTATTCGGCAAATTGCAATCCTAATAGCAAAGCATTATACTCAGCTACATTGTTGGTACATGGTTCGATTAAGGAGAATCCTCTAGGGATCACATGACCCTTTGGGGAAATGATTACCACCCCTACTCTGGCCGTAATTTCTCTGTGGGGTTTTGCTTTGGATGCACCATCAAAGAATATTGTCCACACTTGTATACACTCTTGGGTTACACAAACTTCAGCAACTTCATCAGGCAAATCTTCATACCATTTAGACGGTCCTGGTACTGGATGATCAGTTAGGAAATCTGCTAAGACTTGACCTTTCATAGCCTTCTAGGGCATAAACTACATGTCATATTATGACAGGAGGATAGCCTATTTCCCTAGTCAACAATTTAGGGAAGATGGTTTCGTCATAAGGACTCTCAAAGGATTTACCTTAGAAATGACATGAATTTTTTGTCCAACTAGGTAATGTCGCATCTTTTGGACGGCAAATACTAGGGCGAAACATTCTTTTTCTACCAGATTATACTGGTGTTCGGCTCCTATCATGGTCCTGTTTAGGTAATAGATTGCCTGCTCTTGTCCTTGGTCATTGTTCTGGGATAATAAAGCTCCAAGAGAATGATCCATGGTTCTCACATATAACAGGAATGGTTTTCCTGATANTCAGGAATGGTTTTCTCGATATTGGGGCCACAAGGACGGGCGACTGAGTGAGGTATCTCTTATTCTCTTCAAATGCCTTTTGGCAATCTCCATCCCAAACGAATAAAACTCCTTTTTTATCAACTTGGTGAAGGGCTAGTAGCGTCTCGAGAGATTTGATATGAATCTCCGAATATACGCCAATCTACCTTGCAAGGCTCTGAGTTCTTTGATATTTCTCAGAGATGGCATTTCTTGGATAGAACGAACCTTTTCTAGGTCGAGAGAAATTCCTTTGGATGTGACTATAAATCCTAGAAATTTACTGCTAGAGACCCCTAGGAATGACTTGGTTGGATTCATCTTCAGTTGATGTGTTCACATGATGTCGAACATCATCTTCAGATATGTAAGATGATCGCCTTTATTTTGGCTCTTCACTACTATATCATCAACGTAGCATTCAATCTTCTTAATGCACCACTCACCCTCACTCGATACATTATTATTGCTCTCATTTTGACTCATTACACCGTAGTTCAACTCCTATGGACAATCCTCCTCAGGATCTGGCTTGATGTCGACCTCATTACCACTGTCAGTGTCTTCTTTCGGTTGTTTTGAGTCTTGAGAGTCTAGGAAGAAGACGGAGTCTGTATGGAAGTTCTCCACCCCCCTGAAATGATGCTTTTTAGCAATCAGGGTTTGAACTTGCCCCTCATCATCAGCATATTTCATGACTTGATGTAGAGTAGACGGGACGATGCGATTTGTATGAATACAAGGCCATCCTAACAATCGATTGTAGGATGTGTCTGCATATTTCATGACTTGATGTAGAGTAGACGGGACACATTTTAGCAATCACGGTTCAGACTCCCCCCTCCTCATCAGCATATTTCATGACTTGATGTAGAGTAGATGGGACGATGCGATTTGTATGAATCCAAGGCCGTTCCAACAATAGATTGTAGGATGTGTCTGCATCAATGATGTAACATGTCACTTTAGATTTAAGATCTCCAATATGACACCTGAGTTTGATTTTACCTAGGGACCGAGTGCTATTAGCGTTAAAACCCAAGATAGTGGTCTGGGTAGTGTTCAACCGATGCAAGAGAATCCCTAAGACTTGCATGACCCTGTAAGGCATTATGCTAAGTATTGAGCCCGGGTCAACTTGGACGCGGCTGATCCTTGAGGACCCGATGTACCCTGTGTAGTACAAAGGTCTGTCATGCTTGTGTTTCACCTGTATATCTTCCTGAGTGAATTATATGCATGACGGACTTCTTACTGCTTGTAGACACCGCATAAAAGATTGTCCCTGAGAAGCTTCTGGGATCAGAGTAACTTGTGTAATAAAGCTCTCCGTGTTCGTCAACATTTCAATTAGAGCTTCCCTCGTATCTTTGGACAACCGTAGGAGCTCATACAAAGTAATCCTAGCCGGTACATTGGCTA